TATAGCACTACCTGCTAGAGTTGTTGTTGTTGTTTTTGTAGCTAGCTTTATCTAACCGGCATCTGCCAAACGTGTGGATCCATCTTGACAGGTGATTCCGTTGTTATAAGAACGCCGAAACACGTGCCACACCTTTGTAAGATGTTAATTTTCACAGTTTAGCTTCTTGAATCGACATCGATGTTTCTTTTTAAACAATAAACAAAAACAAAACAGACTTATTTCATGCGTTTTTCAAATTTTGGGAATTATTTTTCCCGTTATTTGGTGAAAAAAAATGCAAAATTGTTGTGTTGTAATAAATACTGTAAACTCACGTGATACTTTAATACACTTTCGTTATGGGTATTAAGGTCGAACCCATTGAACACACACACACACACACACTTAGATCCCCCAATGGGTCAGGCGGTTTATGTATGGTGATGTGGTAACTAATAAATTCATAATCTTTATATTACTTTTGTTACTTTTAATGATAATAGCTGTAATGGGTGCAAAGTGTGAGACCTATCGCTGGTGTCCGCTGGTGTCTAACTGGAGTGAGTGAGTAACTATCGTTTTACGTCGCTATTAGCAATATTCCAGCAATATCACGGCGGGGGACACCAGAAAAGAAAAGGGCTTCACACATTGTGCCCCTGTGGAGAATCGAACCCGGGTCTTCAGCGTGACGAGTGGACCATCAGGCTACCCCGCCGCCCCATACTACTGGAATATTGCTGAATGCGTTGTTTAGCATGCAGTTGTTAACTTGTATGATAATGTATATCATTATACCTTACAATTTGCATTATATAATATGCAGCATGGGAGCAGTGTTAATATCAGCTATAACAGCTTGTCCATCAATACCTATTGATTTATTAAGTTAAAATACGATTAAATCACCGCGACGTAAATCCATCATTCACTGAGTTACATAGATGTTTGTTTACGTGTTGTTTACCTAATTTATCTGGTTTTATATGTAAAGTCCCATCTGACACTGCTTCAAGGTTGCAAGCACAAACAATGAATACAATGTATTCATGAGAGTCGCCAGCACTCATGGATGCACTCTATCGCGCAATGAGTTCCACTTCTTGTAAAAAGATTAAGAAAATCCTTTCGACATGTCGTTTTGTTTGCCATACACTCTGAGTATCATTTCAGTCAATAATGATGTCAACTCAGGCGACATTGTCAAGGGTGGTTTGATGATTTCAATATCACTCTGAGCACTATTAACGTCAGCCAGAAAAGGGGAAATTTCAAAGGTAATTGACTTCAGGTCATTTCAGAATGACATGTCAACTCCGACATAAGTCTCTCTGACCAAAGTCCTATCTCGTTGGTCAAACTTGTAAATGAAATGAGCACAGAAGGTCAGTTTGTAATTCCCGAGTGCCACGTGCCACGCGCTGGACGGACGGCGTGACACTCGTTCCCGCCAGATCGCACCTGATCGGTCTCGGCTGTCAAAAATTGATCGATAATTTTCGTAACGCGGAGACAATGGCCAGCGAAGACTGGCCACTTTAACTGACCGGTCCGACAAGACGTAAAGTATCTTAACTATCTTGACAATAGCCCAAACACATGTCATTGGACTGAATGCGTGACGAGTACCGTTCTTGCCATTGTAAACTTGCTAACACATCGCCGAGTGATTATGGGAACAGTTTTACGAGTGTCCCGGCAATAGTTTAGCTATTGTAAAACGGTGAATGCGCTTCGCACGAATTTAACTAGCTAGCTGGCACTTTCATTGACGGCCCACTGTGATGATTCATTAAAAGCCTGTAAACTTGCGTGATGGAAACAATCTAAGTGTCAAATCAACAATAGAATAGGTAATTACCCAAATTGAAGAGAACATTGACAACAGACGGGATATACATACCTAACAACCACTGTTGTTCTGCAGTTTTACTGGGATACAGAACAACATGCGTCTTGCTGTCACAGAAACAGTAAACAATGAGGCTGTTTATCACGTGGAATATACACGTTTCAAATGGAAGGATTAGGCCAAATTGACATTTAACTAATGACCATCCTTCATCTCTCTAGGAATCCGTGTTTCCATTACTGAATTGTGTTGGCACTAAAGCAGGATCAGTTGGCTGGTGACAAATACAATGTATATAAGCCTGAGAGGAACACTTTTTATGGATAGACAATTTTATTGCAATAGATCCGACGTTTCGATGTAGATGCTAACACTGTTATCAAGCAAATGTTTACATCTGAACCGAAACGTCGCATCTATTGCAAGAAAGGTTGTCTATCCATAAATAGTGTTCCTCTTCATCACGCCAGCTCCTTAATGCCACACAAAGAAGAATATAAGTATGTCTGTGTGGTGACATTGGTTGAAACAATATTTATGTTAACACAAATACAGTGCAGTTAACACAAGAACAATGGAGATTCGGGCCACATATTATTGATAATGATATCAACTGAGGCCTGGTGATGATAATGTCTAAATAACATTCATCCTCCAAAACTGTGTTCCACAGGAGATATTGCTTGTTTGAGATCAACACATCTTATCGTTTTGACAATAGATTCTGTGCAATGTCCTGTCAATGCTATGGCGTCATAAAATTGATGACGTCACAATGCTATTACATCGCTGCACTCCAAGTCTAATGGTAGTACCGTGTTTAGAGATGTACATTTTTAATTGAAAGCTTATGAAGAGTGATTTGTGATGATAAATCGCACCCTCGGCGAGCCCCTGATATTTGTACCTTTATCATCTCGTGCTGATATAATTGATATCAGTAGACACTTGAGTGAGATGCTCTATACCTACCTATACTCGATACCACTGACGATATCAGGATGAAACTATATATACTACACACAGAAGTTAAGGGTCATCCGATTCTTTAATATTGACATAAATTATGTGTCATGAATCGGTTGGCCTTCTTTTTTGTAGTACATATAGCATCAGACAATGGGGGGTGGGGTGTGTGTGTGTGTTTAACTGTATTATTATGATTATTCTTATCAGGAAACATCAAACAATGATGACTGTTTATGCGTCAAATAAGACGTTTGCTATAACTCATAAATAATTGACATATGGATTCATTTGTAATAACGCCATCAGTTATCAGTTATATCACCTAAGTTCTATGGATAGTCAACTTCTTTATTGCAATGAGTGCGACGTTTCGGCGTAGGTACTAACACCGTTATCAAGCAAGATGTGCTGTTGATATCATCTAAGTTGTATAGACTTGCTGTTATCGCAAATATTTCATGTCTCCTTTCATATCACTTACTTCCCCGAAAACGTCTGTACTGTAACAAAACTGTGCACAGATTTAAAGTGTAGTTAAACCAGGTTAAACCTGCACTCGGCTACTCAGAACACTGCACTTACAGGACGATTACTGTAGCAGCGTCTCCACATGTACGTGTATGCGCGCGTGCCTGTGTGCGTGTGTATTTGAGTGAGTGAGGAATTTCATCAGTATTACAGTTAATCACAGAGCGCCATCCTACCTGATACAGTTCTCAGACGACTAACACTTCAATGCAAGCATTGCAAGCACGGGCTGACAAAGGGGCGCAACTCTACACATGGATGAACATGTTTTGTAAAAGTCGACAAGTATTTGGGCATCGTTTATGACGAAAGAAACTATACTATTGTGTATATTCCCTCATCATCTATCTCTTATCATCCGCCCTTGAGTGGCAATAGTACTTTGGATTTTTTCGGGGTTTTGTTTAACCTTATATTTCGTACAAATGGCCTCACATTACAAAATAAATATAATATTATAGCCCCGTAACACTACACGGAATGGCTCGTTTGATGCCTTCCGGAATACATCGTTCTGTATGATCCGTCTGAATTACACGCATGTACTTTAAGTAAGAAAAGCCTTATAGTTTAACCGGTTTGCCAACATTTTAACAAACAAAAGGAGTTATTTTTTTATTAACAAACCCGCTTGTATGTTCGTTTCAAATGACAAACATTGTTAGCCAGAATGTGAGCTTTCTTTACAGCAAATGCGCTGGGTTTTTAAAATTTTGTTTCAAATTTACCAAGCGTAGCGTTTTGTTCCCTAATCGCTAGATGTTAGAAGCAACGGATGTTTAAGGACCACAAGATTTTCTTTCTTAGTTGAAAGATGTAATAAAGGTTGTTTGAACATCCGTTTTATTCTCTTATAATACCACCATCAATCGAAGTCATACACGCAAATTGTATTTTAAGCATGAATTATTCCAATTTGTTAAGTCAGGTGTTAAAGATAGCCATGACAAAGAGAGGCTTTCAGGATTCCTAACACTGTCTGAGCTAAGCTTGAAAGGTGAGTTGCGACAATTGACTGGGTCGTGTATTTTGTCTCTAATTATCAGAAAAGTGTTGCAGGCAACTCAGACAGGTTTGTTTAGAGTGAGTAACATAACAGAATGTCATTGCTAGGTCTATGTCGAGCGGATGTTCTTCCGAAACCAACAATCTGTTAACATTCGTTGAAAAACTTCGTCATGACTATGGTATCCGAGGAGAAATAAACGTCGCGTGGAAATTATCCTGGCTTGATTAAACTGTAAAACGTACTGGGGAAAAAATAAGGGAAATTTGTGAGCGCAAATCACAAAAATCGCGACAGTTGTTGTGAGTATGTGTGCTTGGTGACAGCCGGCTGGATGACAATGGTGGAAGTTGTTAAGCGAACACTAGCTACTCGCTTCGTGAGCCTTTCCCACGCGACCGGCAATCTTTATCACACCTGATAGCTCCCGTTTACTGACGGATATCCTTGCGCCAGGTCTATAAACACAAAATCCGTTTGCATAGAAATTAATAAACCCAGCACCAAGCCTATAGAACATGTTTACGTTATATATTGTAGTTAAGAAAAATATTGGTGGGCATAGGCTCCACAGTTATGTATTTACATGGGAACTATTTTCTCAACGTGGCATGATATCAAACCGCTGTGCAATTCGACTGCTCTATATATAGCACAGTGACTTCATTCGAATCAAACACATGTGTACTAGCGGTACGAGCATATTGGAAGCTTTAATTTGAAACACGGATCTAATTGACAGTTGTGAAGGTACGTATTTTTTTATACTCAACTATGAAAATGTTTTCCTCAAATATCTCCTCTGTGTCGGTGTGTTTTGTGTCATAATACCTTTGCATATACAATCACATATCGGTCAGAGCGCGAGCAGATGTTTGCTTCGCTATTTAGACTGTTCCGGGTTGCTGGAGATGTGACAGAGCCAAGTGCCAATGATCCAGTGACACTATTCTGTAATATTTCGTGCGTCAATTTACGAATTAAGGCTCTACACAAAAGTTTCCATTTATATTTCAGTTTGGTGGTTTTTGTATCATTTCTGCTGTCGTCCTACCTTTCGCTAGAAATAACATATGTTTCTCTGGAAACTCCCTCCCAATTTGTGCCTGTATGTTTTTATGATAGATCGAGTGAATTAAGTCCCAGTATGTCTGTGTCGTTGAATATTTCCCCAAATTATGAAAAGGTGCCAGCTTATATTTAATTGACGAATCATTTTGTTAATACCTTATGTCAATTAGTTATGTAAAGGATGAGATCAGCTTCATGTAATGTCAAATATTTTTTCCCAGACCACCTGCAACCAAAGCTAAATTTACATGTAATATACAAAATATGTATAAAAGTAACTTTTGCTGTTGCGCGGGGTTCGCGGTGAGTGACAAGCCAAGCCCATCTGGGGTGCTTCGTCTATTTGTCACCAAAAGGGTGTTGCCATACGTAGCGTTTTACTCACGTTTAATTGACAACTGCAGATAAAACAGAATGGAAACCGTTTGCTATGATAGGTTTATCAAGAAAACAATAAATATTTGTCGTGAATTATTTTTAGAACAAATATTATTGAATGCGTTGGTCGCCATATGGTGGCTATGCTTTCAGCTTAGTCATGTGATTAATCGTGTTTACATTTGACACGCATGGGAACGGTGTTTGACATGGTCACAGTTTTGCAGATTCTTACAGTATTTTGTATCATTTATGTAATATTTGCAACTCATGACGTTTCTACATCCCGATGATAGGAGAGCAGACGACAAGGATTAGTTTTCGCGCCACCATATGGTGCAGACGATTAGTTGGTCATGTGACCTCAGTCGAATGCCCCGCGAGTCAGAACACGAAATATTACGCGCGCTTTTACCACATGGTGCTGGATCGGGCTGTGAGTTCTAGACCAGTGGTGTACAAGCCAAACATTTTGGGGGAATTTCTTTACATAGGTAATTAAAGAGCTATTTAAGGCCAGTTTTAATGTATTTTTATTATGATTTCAGCCCTTTTAACTATTTTATGAGTACATCAGCGGCATTCCGCGTTATGCTTATTTTATTTGTAAACTATTTTTACAATAAGTTGTCTAGATTTTTTTTAAAACCTTTATTCAATTTAGACACAATTCTTTTCGTCTGACTTATCAGTACATGATAGGCTCAGCATATAGGTTCCCAATCTTATATATTTTTATGTAATCAAGTTTGTCACCTACTGGCAACGATGGTTATCGGTATAGCATAGGGTGAACTTAGAGAAGCCAATAACGCTGGTCGGAGGTTATGAATTCTTGAGAATGTCGGTTTCACCCGAGGGGCATGTCATTATGAGGTCTTCATTAACCCTTACCCCCAGGCCGACATTGTCTCGCTCCCCCCGGGTCGTGTAGCAACAACACATGGCGTATGTACCTCCCCGCGGTTTCTACTTAGACCTAACATAATTGTCCCGAGCGTCTTCACCTCAAGGTTAGAAGGTCCTCTACCGCCTCATCCATAATGTCACCTTCGCATGTCCGGAACCAGTATCTTTCTTGTGCGCTGGTTTATCTTCCGGCAACTGGTCGTGAGATGGGGATCACACCGCGGAACCTCCGTGGGTAGTAGTTACTTGTGATATAAATCACAGTAGTAAGGGTATGCTTTCGACTTAGCTTTTATCTACCTGCCTTTGGGTTGTGAGACGATCGGCCATCTGATACTACAGTTGGGCCTTAATGAAGAGGGATATGGCTCACTGCCTGCGCGTAGGGGTCGTTGGAAACTGACTCGGTAACTTAACGGAGGCCTGCAAGATGGGTGTACAGAGTTATGGTCCGACCTTTAGGGGGGCACGTGGATTTGTTCGGCTTTGTGACGAGGTCAAAATAAATTTACTCCCTCGGGCTTTCATGAGCTTTGATATATACCCCCAGTCCTCTAACGATTAACGTGAATCACTCGCTGGAAAATCTGGCGTTCCCCCCGCCGGAGTAAGGCGAAACCCCACTTGTAATTGACGCTGTGTGACAATAGGACTTTGTACCGTTAATTTTACGTTTCACTCGGAGGTAAGTTCAGCTTCAGTGAATCCCGCCCGTTTCCCCTGTGCCCGTTATCAGTTATCTCCCCTTGATACAAGTAATTCCTAATACACAGGTTTAATAACTCACAACGGGATGTGTAATCCATCTCTTGGACCGATACCTATCTCACTCAACTCTGATTACAAGAGTTTTTGTTCATTCGACATACCAAGCGTTGCTGGGTTGCAAGCGTCTTATAGGGTAATAACGTGTCATATGAAACATGTCGACATGTGATAACTGGCTTTATCACCGGTAGTGTTGTTTATGAATAGGTGTTATTTATCATTGTTATACAGTATGACACTGCCGAGCCGAAGTTCACTAAAACACATTAACTCGCCATGACTTATGATACTGAACCCGCACCTGTACATGCTTCATAATGACTCATGTCGGCGATGTCGCTGTATCTATTCGTGGCATGTTGGGGATAACTAGATTATTACCCGTCGACGATGTCGTATCTATTCGTGGCATGTTGGGCCTGACTAGATTGTTACGGTCAACTTGTATGATGGAAACATCTTAACTCGGTCGACAGAGAGCACACTTGGAATATGAAGTTTTGGTTTGGTAGTCTAGTGGTTAAAGTGATCATTCGTTACGCTGAGGACCCCGGGTTCGATTCCAGTGTATGAAAACCATTTCAGATGTCCTTTACCGTGAATATGGTAAATTCACATCCATGACCCCGGTTTGATTCCGCATGGGTACAGTGTGTGAAGCAGATGGAATTGGTGGAATATTGCTGAAATCAGCGTAAAAAAACACTCTCTGTCATGTTAAAGCCACAAAACGTAGACAGCTGTTGGTGTTGTCAACGTTACTGCCTGCGTCAGACTGGTCGGAATCACATGCATTAGCGTGATTCGGTAATAAAATGTACTCCTCGCGTCTTATGTAAGCCCGCCATATTGCTGCAATATTGCCGAGTGCGGCGTAAAACTAAACTCACTCACTCACTCTTATGTGAACACTGTGGCTGTCCATATATCTTATGTCACCCTTTCTTCTGCAGATGGTTCGCCTAACCTCAGTACCAGCTACCTGCTCACAGTCCCAGATTGCGGCCAGAAAGACATTGAAGCTGCACATCAAGAGAATCAGGGATCGGGAATATTCCAAGCTCCGCGCACTTGTTCCATCAGTCGCTGATAAGAAGAAGGTCTCCAAGGTACGTAGAGTGTCTTCACTGTCTTCCTGATACGTCGCAAACACCACCGAGAGACCCTGTAATGGTGCTGTTGACGCTTTTGTAATGTTGCTCATTGTATGCTTCACAGGTGGAGGTCATTGAAGAAGCAGTACGTTATATCGAGGAACTCCAAGATGCCCTTCTCGAGAGATTTCGACAAAAACATGGTGAGTACACAAAGTTGATTACAGAGTATTATGTTCGAGAGATTTACGGGCTAAACACCACGAGTCGTGATCTTGAAATTCAGAACACTTAAAAACTGCAATTCCGATATCCGCGGACAGACTTCTCCCTTCCACTTGCGTAATGCAATCTACCAGTGACCTCAGACGGATGCATTAACCACCAAGCCTAATGCTTTTGTGACATGATACGTCGTATGGTATGTACAGGCGAAGCGGTTAACAGTGTCGTTGACAGTCATTTGCATGAACGTAATCGTGTTAGGGTAAGGGTGAATAATAGGAGAAGTTAACAACGCGCCAAGACACCTGTTACATAGGACCTTCAGTGACACTTTAACCATCAGCAAGCATCATCAGGTTACATTGTGTCCTTGTTGTGTCATCGTCAGATTGTATGTCCCGTAAAACAATATGTAGGAAAGGTGAACAGGGCGGGGTGGTACCATGCGGCCTTGTAGTCAATGAAGGCATGCAACCGACCACACGGCAATGGGAAAGTGTTTCTTAGTGTGCACAGACCGCCCACCGTGTCGGGTGTCCGACATTGCTACGTGAAGAGAAAGCCTGGGAAGGTATGGATGACTTCAAACAGTTGTCCTTCGGCCTTACACGTAGAGACGGTCACGTAAAGGGCATGAGAAAGAATATGTTGAGGATCTAAGTAAAACCGGATTAGCTGTAGGTGTGTTCCTATGATCATCAGCCTCTTGTGTTGGCAAGAACGGTTGAAAGAGCCGAGTACTGATTTCGTGGGAAAGTTGCATAACGGATGAGCTGCACAGACTATATTGTGGCATCGGGTTCGGATTCAACTGACAAAAACTGTGGAAAAGAGGAAAATGTTAAACCTTTCATTTGGTCCTGATTTAATGTAACGTTAGATTGTTTCAGAATGAACATTTTTCATTTGTATGACTACTTTTTACCTTTCAAATTAGGTAAAAGATTGAAATCTTACAGTCAATAAAACCTAGAACGGTTGCTCCCATTCTGTTCAAATCTCCAAATAAAAGTCGCCCAAACATTGTAATAAGATCCAATTGTCATTTGAAACAGACCGTATTCCTTCGCTCTGTATTCATATACCTGACTTTCCCACACAATCCTACCGAAGCACTGTCCCCGCAATGGAACGTAATTGGCCATCTGTTGCGTCCGGTCCACTCAAGCGCGTCTGTCCCCCTTCGCTAGCTGTCTTCTACCTGTCTTCTACCTGTCCCCTTTACTGTATGGTTCGATCTAAGGGCCGTGGGGGACCGTGGGAACGCGGGACACCGATCTGGGAAGACATACCACAGCGGCAGATGTCGCCAAATAACTTTGTTGGCCCCATGATCTCTTGACTTGCCATAGCCCATAGACGTTGCTTTCAAATATTTGAAATCATGTAAACCCGTTTATTTTATTTGTTATTTAAGACGCTACCTTAGATATGATCTTGCATAAAATCTGTTTATGCCACCATGAAAACCTTTGCAGCTGAAGTTAGGTATTATGTGTAAGCATGTATTGCGGTAAATGCTGTTTAATGTCAGGTGACTCCGAGAATGTATCAGCCCTATGGGGTCATAAAATATAAAGGCCTGCCATCGAAAATTATCCTAAAGGGGTTTTGATCATATTTATGTTGGTTACGTTTATTCTCGTAGGATCCACAATGTGTTTCTTATTATTTGATGTTTCTATATATGTATGTGTTAAGGTCATGTTTGTATAAAACATTTCCAAAAGGCGAGTGACGGCATAGTGTTCGGGGCGTTCATTACAAACTCACACACCTGAGTGGCACCTGCCAGGTAAAAATGTTGCGAACGTTGATTAATTAACCTGAACTCGTACCTCATCAACGCCAGCCATTGTCATCAGGACGCGCTTCATAACTGTCAGCTGGGTGGGCGATTATATTAATTATCAGCCGACTACGCTTCGTAATTGTAACGAGTTACACCGGTCAACAAACCTTATGACGTCACCCCGACAGATGCTTGCATGTCAGCACAGGTCATCAATGGTCAAGCGATCGTGGGACTCCTGACAGTGGTCTAATTGTCCCGTTGAGCATATGGTCAAGCGGTGTTGACATGATACTCGACCGAGTCCCCATTGACACTGATTGATCACCGCTTGGACACTGTTGTCGGAAATCGTACAACGGGTTTTCTGTTGTCCTGCTGTGTCTATATTCGTTCAACGGGGTGTCATCCTGCACGTGCTGTCTAACCTGGTCTCTCCTGGTTTGCCAACTAGTTGACGTTTGTTTGATTTCATTAAAGGCAGTGTGTTCTAATTCCACATTAGTTCACAATAGATAACTTCTCGTTTACAAGCGACAATATGTTGAGAAATTCAGCCATATTCACAAACCTCCATATAGTGAGTGAGTGAGTTGGGTTTAACGCCGCTTTCAGCAATATTCCAGCAATATAACGGCGGGGAACACCAGAAATGGGATCCACACAATGTTACAATGTGGGGAATCCAACCCGGGTCTTCGACGAGCGAACGCTTTAACCACTGCGGGCTACCCCGCCGCCCCTCCCTGATATATGTCCACCGCGACGTTCAGTGCACGTGGTCAAGACGCTTCAGTCACTTCCTACGATGAAACTACCACGACCCCGATCGTTTCAAACCCAGTCGTGATTTACCCCTCGCGCAGTGATTTATCGGTACAGGATTATCTCGAGTCCCCAGATGTTCCTCTACCCCCGGCTTGTTCCGATTGATTTCCGTCACGGGGACAGCCGAGTCGATCTGCGGCAGGTGGTCAGCCATGCCAAGTGCGAGCCGTGACAGCGCGTGGCGTTGTGTCCACGACAGTCGCGTGACACGTGCATACAGTACATCGCGTGACAGCATTTTGCCAGATGCGGTCATCACGAGTAAGGAGTATTCGGCCCTGTCACGTCCCCTCTGACGTTCATTTGACAGTTTTGTAAATGCCAATTTCCTTCTGGCCGCACCAACCGTCTGTTCAAAATTAACCAAAAGTTACTCATTAGGCCGTCCACAATGACAGGACCGTCATGGCGATTTCGGCGTTGACGCTTGTTCTGCGATTATAATTATCACTTCAAACCATGCCAGTTTGAGTACCGCTAGCCAGAGGTCACTGGCACGAGGTGTTGTAATGACAGATGATATTCTGATCTAGCGAGTAAGCTTTGCTTGATATTCTAATCATGGCTCACGCTAAACCTCTTATTTGGAATTTCGTTCGGCGAAATGTGACGTGCGTTCGAAATGAACTAGCACACCTATGAAAATAGACCTACTCTCGTGGTTTCAGGCATGTCTTAATTAACCTGAGAAAATAGTTCCTAGCTCAGCTGTGGCCACAGGGCCATTCAGGGAACACAATAATACCCCGAAAATAGACCGACAATACCCCAGGGCCGTTCACAAATATTTGTATACCTCCGCCAGGCTATCAGAACAAGCGGCCATGCACAAAAATTGTTCCGTGTTTTTATTGTAGGTGCGAGAAATTGATTTCTTAAAAGGTTTTACTTGTTCTCAATAAAGGTGGCTAAGCTGGCAATATTGAGACGATTGCTCATTTGGGGATTTTACCCTCAATTCAAATTGGGAGTTATGCCAGTGTTGACGATTCGGGTTGTATACAAAATCGGTGGACTGAGTTAAAACGAATTAGCGTCACGCTTGCCACGTGAATTTTGGATAATAAAACGAGTAATTCCATCATCTTGGATCGAAAGGTTTTTTGTAGTTCATTGCTGAATGGACGTGAATTTCATATAATGATCATGACTCATCCAGATTTGATAATGTCACCTTTTACCTTTTGATTACGACTGGTTAACTGAATGACACACATTTTCACATTAATTTCAACATGTCGCTCACTCTTGAGAGCCATTAATAACGCTTCGGTTGTCGTTTTGCGTCTTTGGGGGAATAAATCATGATGGGCTTTCCATTAAATTCACCATCTACACTATGAAAGGAAGAGGCAAAACTATTAAGAACAGGTTTCGTGTAACTCTACTTAACATTAATGGTTATTTTAATGATGTCAATAAGCTAATTTATTATCTTCAACTTCCACGTCTTCTCACATTTGTACACGAGAGAGAAACTGATCATTTGTTCAGCGCCATTAAGCATTCCACTCTACTCCTGGAATGCCTACTTCACGCCAACCGCGAAATGCAGCGTGTCCCAATATAACTTGCTGCATGAATATGAAATGCAGGGATTAAACAACTCGAGTTAAAATAGACATCATATTCACTGAATCAAAAAACAATCAAGAAAATGAAATAAGTCGAACCTTTACCCTCAACCCAATCGTGACCAGAGCTCCTGCCGCTTGACGAGAAGCACGACTGGTTCTGAATACCTTCCCCGAGAACCGTGACTAACGTCTATCTCTCTTGCAGGCTCACACGGAGACGAGTTAGCTGAGGAGACCATGAGGAACTTCGTAAGGCAGCTGATGCCTGTATCTCCAACATCTTCACCCCTTGTGAACTTTGAGAAGCGCCAGAGCAGACCTAGTTTCCTGCTCATGAAGAGAAGAAAAGGCTCACACTAGGAGGTACGTGAACCTGTAATGTACAAGCTTGATTCATGTACCTGACATGGAGACACGTGCTGGTCTCAAGTTTGGTTTAATCTTCAACGAATACATAGCAAGCTTGATCTGTAAACTGATTTATTTTGAAATATCAACTAATTTGTTTTGAAACAAGGATCTTTCATGAATACATGACTCGTTTTATGGATAACAACGTCTTTTATTCTTTACCCGACGTTTCAGAGCTAATTCTTGCCTCTTCATCAGGTGAAGTTTTTTTCCATAAACCCTCATGTATCCATTTCCAGCTTCTAAATGTCTTTCAAGAACTTATGGATCTTTCGCCCTTGCTTATGATGTTTGGTTTTGTTACAGCTATTTCGCCTGTATATACAAAAAAGCCTGACTGTGATATGCTGATGGTGCTAACGAAGCAAGGATCTTGCTCAACTTCAACTCGACACACATGTTCAAGACAGACAGATATACAGACAGACGACATATCTCATCCTACATCTCCCATCCATCATCGCCTCGTCAAGGTCATGAGGTCAGGGGTCACTGCAGCCATGATGTTACTCAACGCGAACCATGATCAACATGTCATTTCAATTCATAGGTAAGGGCAGTTCTTATGATCAGCACAATGACAAACGTTCACAGAAGTAACATTAATCTTTGGGTTGTATGATACTTGGCATACCTAACAATGATTCGACTTCTTGAAGGATACTGGTTTCTGTGCAGAGTTGAGTATTTTGAGGTGCTAGAGTCCCAGTCTGCCTTCACTATGTTTCTAGGTTTGTCGACCTGTGCCCCTGTCTGTGGCTTTCATTAGAGTAGTAAGCCTCTGTCTAATACCTCCACACATCGGACTTCCAAGCGGAAACGCCATGATGAAACCGAAATTCTTTTCAATGCGGCGTTAGGCCAAATTCAATCTCTCTTAAATGTTTTGGAATTGAATATTTGTAATTACGATGTTTACTCCACTTATACAGACTTTTAAATATTTCAATTTCCTTTTCAGCTTAACCGGAAGAGAATACTAGACTGGGCTCTGTCCAATCATAATACCTGCACATCAGTGGCGGTCTTATTCCGGGATCTGATTGTTGGCTGAAACCCCCACCCCATCGCACAAGCCATGGTTGTCTTACAAACGACGGACTCACAAACACACTTCTATTTTGTCACCATCCCTGGGGCACGAACCCGGAAGTACGACTGGACTGCGTTTGAAGAGTGATTTTAAGTGATTCTTTCAGCTCCATCGACATTTTCATTGTATATGAGTAAACAGCGTGATTAAAACACCTGTTTGAGGAAACCGCGGCTTCACTACCTTAAACTGTCAATACAATACAAATATATATATTACGTCTCTTGTTATGTAATTGTTAATCTACACTCTGTTGACTATGTTAAGTTGGTGTCTTCTGTACTATATGAACAAGTTGGACCTTGCACTCCGCGTTTATTATGATTTCATGTTGTCACACTGACTGCTATTCCGTTTGTTTTGATATTGTACCTGCTGTGTTCTTAATAAATTGTTTATATATCTGAAACAACCTCACGCTCATTCCTTCTTCAAGCACTGGTGCCAGGGTGGCGCAGTGGAGATCGAGTTGCGCCCCTTTGGGCGGCAGGATCCTATGATCATAGGTTCGCATCGCCCTGTTTACGCATTTAGGTTTGTCCGTACCACACCAATGCTCGTAATCGTCCAAGATATGAGTCACCTGGACATTCACTAACCTGCAGAGAAAATACAGTTAAGTGAGTGAGTGTGGTTTTACGCCGCTTTGAGCAATATTCCAGCAATATCACGGCGGGCACCGGAAATGGGTTTCGCACGTGCGGAGAATCGAACCCGCGAACGCTTATGTTTCAAATGGGTGTATGGCTATGATGTTGCGGATGTCACACACACACACACACACAAAGTTTCAATACTGGATCCTGGGGGAACACTGCAACGTGGCAGCACCGCCTGAGTATTGAAAGGGTAGAAGCAATTGCGGGAATCGAACCTGGATCTCACTTTGAAGACAAGGTTTCCAAGTGGTCCTTTCATATGGCATCTCTTCTGGCAAGCGCTGCACTTGATAGTTATAGCTGAGAGACATGACTTTCACAGTCAGTATATCCGTGTAATTGAATGTGTGAAATGGCAGATCGCTATGGTTTTCAGGATATCTTGGGTTTGAGGTCCAGTGCTGTATTAATGGCAACTGAGTACAGTTACACCTCTACATGAGAGACACGCCGTCTTGAGTGAGTGATACGAGAGATTGGGATGGTGACGTCATTATCCAATTAAAGCTATGATGGCCTACTGTACCAAGTTGTTTATCATCAAGATAATATTAGATAGATTAAATAGTCTATAATAAACCCAGGACGTACTCAGGGAGTAGATCATTAGTCTCGAAACGGTCACCTTATTACATACATCTCCTGAGATGTATCAATTGAAACAAGAATTACGAGTTAAACATACTGTGTTGGAAAATCAGAGGTATATAACGTGGTCGTATACCTCTGAATGACTTTAAGTAACGAATCACAATCCAGTATGGAAGGATAACAATATATGGATGAACAACTTCTTTATTGGTGTGAGATAACGGTGTTAGAACCTACACCGAAACGTCGCTCTCACAGAAATATAGAAGCTGTTCATCCATATATTGTTATCCTTCCTTACTGCTCTAACTTCTAAATGTATCTCAAAGAAGTAGTCACAATCCAGTATTTACTGCAGTCACGCTAGAATGTGTCTTTAACTGTGTATGTAACATTAAACAAACAAGAATATTTTGACATAGGGTGTTAACGTTTCAAGAACAATAGGTGCGTTTCTCATCTCTTGACAGCAGTTATTACAAAGCCACGGCTGTCCCGAGAGTCGGCAATGTCTTGCCTAACTGTTTACATTATTCTGCCTAACGTTTGACACAATAGAAAGTCATCATGGTCAGCCTCGGACGACAAGTGTACGTTATATATAGACTTGTTGTACAGGGAGAGCTCTCATTACGAAGGGCGTCAGTTGAACATGAGAGGAACAATATTTACCTCAAGTGCCTTGGTCGTAGAGACATCTGCTGAAGTCGACGCATATGGTTGTGGCAAACCAATGATCAAAGCAAATTAGGGACTGGAACCCACGACCAGCGGATACTGACATAACAAAGGCCTGTAACTCACCACAGGGAATTATGGAAATCTCTCTATACTGTATGTATGCACGTCGTAATAAGCAGTCGTGTTATTCTTTTGAATGAACCTTGCATGGATTGGTGACTATCACCCTAGGTTAGATCATGGATAGGTGACTATCACCCTAGGTTAGATCATGGATAGGTATCACTATCATAGGTTAGATCATGGATAGGTGACTACCTAGGTTAGATCATTATGGTGACTACTACCTAGGTTAGATCATGGATAGGTACTATCCCCTAGGTTAGATCATGGATAGGTGACTATCACCCATGGATAGGTGACTAGGTTAGATCATGGATAGGTGACTATCACCCTAGGTTAGATCATGGATAGGTGATATACCCTAGGTTAGATCATGGATAGGTGACTATCACCCTAGGTTAGATCATGGATAGGTGACTATCACCCTAGGTTAGATCATGGATAGGTGACTCTACCTAGGTTAGATCATGGATAGGTGACTATCACCCTAGGTTAGATCATGGATAGATGACTCACCCTAGGTTAGATCATGGATAGGTGACTATCACCCTAGGTTAGATCATGGATAGGTGACTATCACCCTAGGTTAGATCATGGATAGGTGACTATCACCCTAGGTTAGATCATGGATCATGGATAGGTGACTATCACCCTAGGTTAGATCATGGACTATCACCCTAGGTTAGATCATGGATAGGTGACTCACCCTAGGTTAGATCATGGATAGGTGACTATCACCCTAGGTTAGATCATGGATAGGTGACTATCACCCTAGGTTAGATCATGGATAGGTGACTATCACCCTAGGTTAGATCATGGATAGGTGACTATCACCCTAGGTTAGATCATGGATAGGTGACTATCACCCTAGTGACATGGATAGGTGACTATCACCCTAGGTTAGATCATGGATAGGTGACTATCACCCTAGTTAGATCATGGATAGGTGACTATCACCCTAGGTTAGATCATGGATAGGTAGGTTAGATCATGGATAGGTGACTATCACCCTAGGTTAGATCATGGATAGGTGACTATCACCCTAGGTTAGATCATGGATAGGTGACTATCACCCTAGGTTAGATCATGGATAGGTGACTATCACCCTAGGTTAGATCATGGATAGGTGACTATCACCCTAGGTTAGATCATGGATAGGTGACTATCACCCTAGGTTAGATCATGGATAGGTGACTATCACCCTAGGTTAGATCATGGATAGGTGACTATCACCCTAGGTTAGATCATGGATAGGTGACTATCACCGTAGGTTAGATCATGGATAGGCATCACCCTAGGTTAGATCATGGATAGGTGACTATCACCCTAGGTTAGATCATGGATAGGTGACTATCACCCTAGGTTAGATCATGGATAGGTGACTATCACCCTAGGTTAGATCATGGATAGGTGACTATCACCCTAGGTTAGATCATGGATAGATGGCTTTCACCCTAGGTTAGATCATGGATAGGTGACTACTACCCTAGGTTAGATCATGGATAGGTGACTATCACCCTAGGTTAGATCATGGATAGATGGCTTTCACCCTAGGTTAGATCATGGATAGATGGCTTTCACCCTAGGTTAGATCATGGATAGATGGCTTTCACCCTAGGTTAGATCATGGATAGATGGCTTTCACCCTAGGTTAGATCATGGATAGATGGCTTTCACCCTGGGATAGAGTCAGTAAGTGAGTATGGTTTTACGCCGCTTTTAGAAATATTCCAGGAATATCACGGCGGGGGACACCCGAAATGGGCTTCACACATTGTACCCATGTGGGGAATCGAACCCGGGCCTTCGGCCTGACGAGCGAACGCTTTAACCACTAGGCTACCCCACCTACGCCCAGGGAAACCAACAAACAATCGTCGCTTCGGAACATGATGACACTTACAAAACGCTGGAGACATGTATTATCTGGGCGTTAAAGAAACCAGAACATCAATGACGCTGTGGCGTCTCCGTCTTACATCAATGAATAACCAGCCCTAATGTACGTGACTGGTTCTACGACTACACTGCGGGTTGACGAAGTGGAAATGAGGAGCGATATATATCCTGCAAGATGTTGTATCGCAGCTGCAGTAGAAGAAACCGTTCCTGGGGAGTAGCGAGCAGTAGAATTACATTAAGTTCAGAAGAAAGTCGACGTTTTGTCTCTGTTCTGAAATACGTTCACAAATGTTAAAAGAATTTGTTTGGACAACTAATCGAATAACAACACATAATTGGAGAAAGGATCTTTTGAGGTATCGATGATGACCTAACTCTGTCTACAAGCGTGCAACTTATGCGACCCCACGGGACATGGTGACTTGATAATTGTATTAGTATATACACGTCTATATGGCATTTGTTCCTTGTAGCCTCTAGAGATACATTCTTTTACATGGAGAACATGGCTTTAGAATCAGCTCGCCTGTTGTGCTGATGAAACGTAATGTTCAGCTCGGTTATGTATTAACTCATTCTCTGTGTGTTTGTAGTATTTGAATGACATACCACTTCCGTAGTTAAATGGTATTTCCTATACATTTTGAGTTGATATTTGGGATGTAACGTATTTAACAGTATTTCAGTTGCATGAATGCGCTCTGCTAAAGGTGGGAGGAAAGCCCGAGGTAACATAGGACTCACTTCACTTTGATGAACCCAGCGAGCACGGGACTGGTACAGGAAGACATTGATTCATATTGGTGGATTCGACCCTATAAACGGCAGGGGAACCTAGCACGGTAAAGGGACGAACAGCTGTTTGCATCGCTTTAGTGAGTGAGTGAGTATGGATTTACGCCGCCTTTGGCAATATTCCAGCAATATCAGGCCAGGGGACACCAGAAATTGGCTTCACATATTGCACGTGGGGAATAGAACTCGGGTCTTCGGCGTAACGAGTGAACGCTTTTACCACTAGGCTACCATCGCTTAGTTTAACTGTTCCAGTTATATGGTGTGTTTGTTCGAATCGTTTGAGACCCATCTGAGGCAGTACTGAGAAGATTACAGTACGGCGGGAACAATGGTTGCATCAGCTGATCCAGTTTATTGACATGTACATAATGCATTCATTCAATGTACGTTCATTGTCAAGATGTTATTTATTGGTTTTGTTTTTTTAATAAAGTATCCATGGCACAATGCAATAAATGCAGATAACGAACAGGGTATGTCCATGTTCAATGGATCCGGTTATTCCAGCTGGAGCATAGTCTATTTATTGCTTCCAAACAGAACATGCTTTATGGTTGGAAAATCAATTGGATTTGCACAGTAATTGTTCACCGGTCTAATAATCCCAAATGAAATGAAATAGTCCCAAATGAATTACAATGGAAACACAGACATA